TGCCTCAAATCTCATGCCAGTGAAGTTGGGCATCAGCATGAATTGGTTCCAGCCTGTGCTTTAAACATGAAACCCCTTAATACACTCACTCCAAGCAAGTTTAAAAAATAATTACTGTTAGCAGTGTGCTAGCAAGCATTCAGCCAGTAGTAGGTCTCTTGAAAGTGAACTGCCAAGAACAGTAGGAAGTTTAGCAAAAACTTCCTTAGTGGAGGAGGAAACCCTACACTGAAGACCTAATAACACTTCCAGCAAGGAAGCTGCGTCCACATGGGCAGTACTTGATTGCACTGTGTATCAGCAAGGCTGTCCTGCCAAGTACCTGTAGTGTGCTGTGGTGGCCACCCTGTCTGAGACACAGGTAAAGTTACTGCATAGGGGGATTAGAAAGAAACCGCATGAAGGGCAGTCAGAGGCACCTAGTACATTGAGGAAAGCACGAGGCTGACCCATCAGCTAATCAGTAACAAAGCGTGAGTCTTGTCAGGCTGGAAATCTAAAAGACATCTTTGGGTTAAGGGGATGCTGAAGTAGAAAGCTAACGCTAATTACTAATTTAAAACAATCATAGTGATTGTGAAAAATTCCTGGGCATTAAAGAAACACTATTGCCTACCTATGGAGACAGCTCAACGAAAGGGAGAGACCTCTTGTTAATTGCTGGGTGGGTAACTCCTGCCAACTGCCTTTGGCTCAAAAACAAAAAAAAGTGCTTTCCTCTTCAAATAGGACACTTGATGTTTACTTGCCACCTCATTCTCCCCTAGGGTTTGCACGACAAAGAGGCTGTCAGTACTGATGCTTTGTCCACCACTACTTCTACATCTGGGGAAGAGTAGATCTAATTGAGCTCATTGTGAGTGTTTTCATACTCTGTGAAGACCTGATAGCAAATCCCCTCTGGGCAGGGAAGAGCCATAATAGCTGAAGCAAAAAAAAAAAAAAAAAAAAAAAAAACCCCAACCTGTAGAGGGCAATGAGGGGATAGAAGGCTGAGAGTTTCCACCCTTTATGCAGAGCCTGAGCTTTCAGCTCCTTGCAGATGAGACTTGCATCTAGTCATTGTAGTACTTTATCTCTAGGTGCCATTGTCTTTGGGCTGAACTTCTTGCACGAGGCTGTCCAGTTGGTAAACCCAATAGTTCAAATATTTTACCTTCCAGTAACAGTGAACAACTGAGAGCTTGATGCCTGGTAGCTTTTATATTTGAAAAGTTGCTGCATTTTGTTAGGGTGGAGGTCTCTTGAGGGAGGTGTTTTTGTTGTGAAAAGTCAAGGTTCAAGGAGATGTCTGTCTAATGTACCTTGAACTAATTTTACACTGAAGTTTGCGTGCAACTAGGTCCTGAGAACGATGGAAGAGAAGGCTTGTTGGTACAACTGCACTGCTGTGCTACTTACACAATTGCTGTGCTATAGCTAACCACACACAAAATAAATATTACACCGAAGAAGTAATGTCAAGTTTGGAAGCTGTTTAAAAATCAAACTTACTGGCTGGAAGTAGGTACAGGAAGGTGGTGGAGAAAGCTTGGCGCAGCAAGGCCGGCAGCACTGGCAGTTGCCTATAGCAGTCATCATCAGCAGCAATGACCTGTCTCTCTGCAGCCTGTGTCCTGAGTAGCTGTGTTAGGGCAGCTGACTGAGGAGGCTGTGACCTGCGCTGGTTTGTCTGCAGATGAAGATGATAATGAAACATGGTGAAGATAATTTAAATGTGGTGGCTAGAGTGGAGGAAAGTGGGGTATAATTTTTAAAGTAGAATGTGTATGTTGGAAGAGCCCCGGGACAGTAGCATTGCATCTGTTCTACATGCTACAGGTTTCCTTCCTCAATGCAAGTGGAAGGAGAAGATGTAAAACTTCCTGTAAAAAAAATATCCTAAACTCTTAATTTACAGTTGTAGAATGATGCAGAATTTCACTTAGTCTGGGGTGGGTGGGTTCTCCAGACCACTGAAAACTTAATTGTCTTACATACTCAGTTTAATGTTTGCACAGAATTTTAGGTAGCAAGCATTTCCCCATTACTGTTTGGGATGGCTTATTCTACATACTGAACCAGTTGCTTTGCTCTGAATTGTATGAACTTCTGTGATGTTAAAGTGGTAGTATCTGGCTGAGTAGTTCTGGGCTGTTAAGTCTTTATCATCTTTCTTCTTTAAAATCTATAATTTTGAGCCCCACACTGGCATTAAACTTAAGTCTCTCTAATGGCTTTCTGCCAGGTAGCTCTTGAAGAAGAAGCTAGGTGTGTTACTAGCAGAAACTTTGACCAAGCAACTTAGTTCTGATGGCTTAATAGTGATTGAGAGAACTTTTTTTGCAGTGACAGGGGTGGTGGAGAGAACAACTTTTCTTGTGGTTATGTTAAACTTAGACTAGGATTTGATGTTCCCAGATGTTATTTTTTCCACTTCCTCTTGTGAGATAGAGGGGGAATTAGCAGACTTCCTAACATATGTAGAAATACTTTTTAAAGAACGAACAAACAAACAAACCAACCCCCCTCACAAAAACCTCAGGGAAAAAAACCACAGAAGTGATGTCACTTAAAAACCTGTTGGCTGGTAGATATAAGCCAGCCTTGGGCTTTCCTCTTGGTTTATTACTTTTGCCCTCTGCAGGATTCAAAGATATTTATGACTCTTCTTCTATGCATGTGTTTGAAGGTGGTGCCATATAGTGTGTGGTGCATCTTCTTTAGACGTCAGTCCGCAAACTTACGACATAAATCTGTTCTTCTGCAGCACACAATTATTTTTATGCTTCCTTTTGCATAATGTTTTAAAAAAGGAGCTTTTACAAAAATTCCTTTAAATTAGTTTATTAAAGGATTGCTTGTAGGCAGACTTATAAACTTTTAAATGAAAACCACACAGAAGAAAGACTAGGAACTTTGAACCTTCCCTTCTCATGGTAGCATGGCCAGCTAATGCTTTCTTGGATGTGTTTGGACTTGTCTGTATGTGAAGTTAATCAGAAATGGCTCTTCTGTGGTAAGTAATAATCATTCGCACCCTTCTGGAATCTGAATGAATTTTCAAGTTTAAGCAAGTTCCATGTTTCTGTTTTAAGAGTAATTAAGAGATCTTTCTCACTGTATTCTACTGAATTTTAACACAGTTAAGTCCTCTTATGGGCATGTGCAGTATCTGCTGTACTCTTGAGATAGTTCAGGCTGGAGTAGTGGTCACAAGTGGTAAGCTGTCACAGCCCTAATTTAAAACCCTAGGTGCCATGTGTGCAGTTCCAGCTAATGGTTCCTTGCTGCTTTGGAATGTCAGGTTTTACTGGTGAGAAGGGAGCTTAGTCTAGAGGCCCTTCTTGTTGATAGTAGGGTTTGCTAGGCACATGGCTAAGATTGCTGTCACCCAGTGGAGAGTTGAACTGACTGCCTGAACAGAGGGTATGCTCTCTTGTGACTCCTCCTGCCTGATGAATAAGCAGTGCATCCAAGTCCCAGGCAGCTGGAATATGTCCGATTGCAGTTGTGGGGTTAAGGAAAGCCCTGGACCACAAGCTGCTGTGCTCTCTCTCCCTAGGTGCGCTGCTTCTTTTTTGTAAGATGTGGCAGTTTGCAAGTCTGGCCAGGGAGGATGGAGGTGAGATAACGAACTGAAATAGTCTGCTGCAAGGTGTGCCTTCATTTACAGGCTAGGACTTTTGTGCATCTCATCTGCTTTCAGATCCACTGTGTTTTTTATTAAATAAGACTTTTGTGAAAGTCTTATTTGCTCAAAGAGAAGGTATATAGATTTGCTGCCCAGTGCTTCCAGTTAGTGAACTTGTGCCTCTAGCTTCCTTCCAGTTGTTTGTTGAACTGGGTATCTGCTCCACAGCCTCTTTCCTTGCACTGAGCTTGACCTGCTTTCTTTGCACTGGTGGAGAAAGTAGGGCAGACTTCTAACTTTGGATATTATTAGATGGGAAGAAAAAAGATATTCTGGATTTTTATCATCCCCTCCTAAAAGAGTTGACCTGTGAAGGAGCGCTTCAGGGAAGCAGTTGGTGGTGACAGGAGCCCCTGGTTTGCAGGAGGCTGGAGGACAGGCTGGGAGATCGGGTCCCCGGCTGCCTGTAAGGGTTCATTTGACTGCGGATTGGGAGGGACAAAGAAAGGCTGCAGCTGCTTGTGAAGCAGAGCTTGCAACTAGCAGTGTTGGCCCAGAAGACCCCTAATGTAGTTCCTGTGTTATGGGGCAGGAGAGCCTCTAGGGTGGCAAAGCCACTTTTTTCTCTTCTTCTTCTTCCCTTTTTTTTTTTTTTTTTTTTGCGCACTTAAGCTTAATTTGTGGATAGCACTGCCTCTGAGTGGCAGCAAAGTTTGGCTCTGCCTTTCTTTTATATGATTTTGGTTTTTGGGCAATCACAGGCACTGTTGGTGGAACTGTTGTCAGTGTTATGCTAGGAAGAGGGCAATGCTGTTTCCTCCGTCTGTGTAGTTGTGCTGTAACAGGATTCAGCCTGAAAACAGCTTGAGCACTTTGTATTTGAAAACTGCTCGTTTTATTACTGGCTGCCAGTGTTAGACCTGTATTTTAGAGCTGTATCTTTTAGGCCAGCTGATGGCATTGATTGCTGAAGACTAACAGTCAAAACAGGATCCAGACGTCTTCCTCTATTCACTTCTTGAAACATGCGTTATCCTGGTGACCTGCATAAGGATTTTGTCCCTACTTTTGTGGGTGGATGATGACGTTAGTAGTTGCGAGAATATTGTTCATTAATCGGCTCTTATTTAAGTGCCAGATTTACTGTGTCTGCCATTAAAACTACCTCTAAGGAGCTGATGGATAACTGCTGCTGTAAAGAATAACCAAAGGTTTTTGTCCTGACCTACCTCGTATGATCCCTTAAAATAGAACAATGCTGCTCAATCCAGCTTATCGCAGCTTTGCAGCTGTATATGAATAACCTATTTTATGACATGCTTTTGATTTCTTTTTTTGCTCCATTCTTAATTTAACCTATAATACTGTTCTTTTTCATTTCTTTCAGAATGGACTGCTGAATTGGGAATTATTGCAGACCCAACAGTACAGCACTGCTCACTGCTTCATCTATTACTAGTTTAAATTGGACTTTTAATATCCTGCCAGCTGCTCTTCACACACACATGGTGCATTGTTGCCATTCTCAGAATTGCATCTTTGAAACCCAGACCCTCAGTAACCTTCATCGAACAAAGAGGCAGCCTCCTGAATACGTTTGTAGAGGGATTTTTTGGACCTGCTGCCCTCTAGCTTTCTTGCTGGTGCTGTATTTCTAAGACACTATGGAGCCCAGTATGGAGTATTGCTTAGCGCAGGTGCTGCAGAAAGATGTTGGAAAGAGGCTTCAAGTTGGCCAGGAACTGATAGATTACTTCTCAGATAAACAGAAGTCAGCTGATCTTGAACACGATCAGACTATGTTGGACAAAATGGTTGATGGACTGGCCACATCTTGGGTAAATTCCAGTAACTATAAGGTAAGACTTTCCAGGTGGAATGTGATTTAGTCAGGTGTTTCACTGACAAATTTTACTTGATCTGAATGAAAGTTATACGGTAGACTGACTAACATTCTGCTCTGTAAAATGATAATTGTGTTGAATCAACCATTTGTATTCCATTTCTTGGTAAATAGTCGATGGCTGATATGGTATTGAGGATTCATGGTGGTAAGACTCAAGCAAGTGAGAGTTTAGTAAATGGATTCATATTTAGTATTTATGCTTTCTGATAACTAGTTTTTTGGTGTACCTTGTTTGCCTCTGGGATGCTTTGATCATTCCAGTAGCTGGCAAGGTTGATGAAATTTTTTTTATCTTAAAAAAGAGAGAGAAGCAGGGGGAGAGTTCTAAAGCCACAGAAAGTATGTATATGTGTGTGTATGTATGTATATACATACACGTGCACGCGCTGCCAGTATCTTTTCACACTGTCAATGATTCTTCCTAGATTTTTCTAAATTCTGGGTGCAATTGAAGTACAATTCATGATTCTATTAGAATTAGCTCAGGAAAGCTAATCAGCATGTGTGTCTTCTGTTGGATTTGATGATCGTGCCTCAACAGGGATGAGGAGTGAGACAAGGAACTCAACTGCCTTGTTATCCCTATAGTGTTTTTTCCATTTCCCTACGCTTTGTGAATAAGAAGTGCTACTACTGCCACGTACTCTGATTTCCTCATTGGGGAGGGGTTCTGAGGTGTGATTTGGAAAAATGCCTGTCCTTGTCCTTTCCTGAGGCACGCTAATGAAGCAAACAGGGTACCTAAGCTGCTGCTATAGGGAGAACTAGTGGATTTTGTTCCTTTCTCATAAGTCTGAAAAAAATCTCTGAGGGTAAAACCTCCTACAGACCTAAGCCTGAAGCTAATTAGCTGTGTGTTGTACTGTGGAATACAACTATTAACTGGAGTTGTCTCCTGTGGAAGTGAAGGAGAGCCCAGCATATAGGTTGCATGTGATCTGAAGCTGAACATCCTCAGATTCATTTAAACTATATTTTTAATAGGAATTTTGATGGAAACAAGAATGTGGTATATTGGTTCATGTGTCCTATGCAGATGCACTTTTGCTCTTCATTTTGTCAACAAGTAACTGCAGTGGAGGCTGTTTGGCATAAAAAACCAAAGCTGATATAATCTTGATGGAGGACCGTTCTGGCTCAGCCCACAAAGAACTCTTACTTAGTTTAATGTCCTTATCAAACGCTATGTGTTATTTTCTCAGAGCATAGCATGTTCCTATTGCCCCTCTTCTTGCTTAACTGGCTTTGTCTTAGACTTGCATAATTCTCAGCAGAAAGGTAACGCAAGCGCAGCAAACTTGAAATTGTCGTGAAATTTACTGTTTATGTGGGTTTTATGAATTTACAGAACTATGCAGTACTTCGTGAATTGTGTGATCCTTTTTCGGACAACTTGTTCTCCCTCCCCTCTGCTTCCCAATCTGTCTGTTGAAATACATACTCTCACAAAGTCCAGTGTAGTATTCATTACTAGGTAACAAATTGATGGCACTTCTGTGTTGGAGTGACTCTATTCCAGAGTTAATGTTCCTGACTGAACTGATTGTTCATTAGTGTGCATGTTCTATAGGTAGCGTTTGCTATGTTTAGCAAGTTAACTTCTAATGTGCATAAGAGGCCTTTCTTAAATGTGTATGGAGGGTGTTTTGTTCAGTGAGTGAATGAAACAGAGGATTTGAAACCTCCCAGTTGGACAGGCTGACCACCTGGAGTTTAGTGATGTAGTGACCCTGATTCAGCATCAGAACAAGACTTAGTGCATTGTCATTTGCCAATCTCAGTTTTGTTTCAGTGTCTGCCTCTGTAATGTTGTCACCTTTCTTCTTGACAGCTTGTGGGGGACTGTAGAAACTTGGCTGTGCCTGATGTTAGTGAGGATAGGGTAGGTCATGTTATCTGATACACTAATCCATGAACTGGAACAACCCTAAGAGTGAAAGGTCAAGCATCACTGCCCTAGAATAGCCATCTGGAGAGCTAAACTGCAGTTTGTTTGCTCATGATTGAAAAAGCCGTTATATTTGCACTCTCTCTCTCTCTACTCATGTCATTCCCTTGATCTGAAAAATAATTGATTTAAAACAAAGGTGAGAGACCACCTGCAAGACTTGAAATTTCTTAACATTTCGGTGATAAAGGGTGTTCTCTCAAACTTAGGCTGGGTTTGGATAGCAGACCCATTAGCTTGGGAGAGGGTTCAGTTGATTCAGTTGATTCATGGCAGCTGCCTGTCTCTCTGGGACTGTTCTAACTAAAAAATTGTGCTTATGTGTTATCACTAGGGAAACATTAGCCAGCCAAACGGAAGTGATTTCTGTGTGACAGTGGTGTTCAGAGCTTAGACTGAAGGAGCCTCAATTGATGAAATTACTAAGCCTTTACAAGGAGGGTTTAAGCTGTTCCCCACACTGTTGTGCGAGTTTGAGCTGTGTAAGTCATGACCGTGATAGGTGACTTTTCATGCTTTGGGTTTTTTGTACACTGATTCTATTGTAACCTGATTCTGTTTCGTGAAATCCTTAACCTCAGCACTGGGAGGTAGACCATACCATCTTCTTTTTTGATTGATGCAGCAAAGGGCAGTGATGGAGGAGGAAGGGATGTTCCTCTTCCCTTGTGCTATCAAAGTCTAAAAGCATCGCGTGTGAAACGAGAGGGGGACCCAAGATGCTTTGACAGCATTGAACTGTCAAATAGACACCTCAAAACTCTTCTATCAAGCAGCCTTGAGACCCCTTCAAGCAGCCTTGTCCCTGCTTCACAGCAGGTGGCTGCCTGAGGTACAGAAGATGCTCAGATAATCCAGGATGCTTTTCAAGTAAAAGAAGCATGAGGGATGTTATGTGAAGCAAGGCATTGAGGTCCTATGCAAGACCCTTTACTGCTTATCTGTGCTTGTCAGGAGCATACTTGAATTGCACCTAATAGGCACTGCCTGGTCTGTATTTTCCCAGTAATGCCAGTGGGTAGCCAGAAGACAGAGGAGTGGTGCAGGGTGAAAAGATGGCTTCTCATTGAGGACTTTTATGTTTCCCTGGAGCTTGGTTACCCAGAGCAGGGAGTCCATGTTTGCATGCCTGCTAGGAGTTGTGGGGTCTAACAGAGAACTGATTGAAGTGATTGAACTCCACTGATTGAAGTGGCAATTCTCCCTTTCCCTTGCTCCGTTTCTTCTCTGGCTTGTTTGCTTGGTGTGTGCTGTTTCAGGATGGTGCTTCTGCTGGACTCCATGTTCTCTCCTACTAATCAACAAGATTTTTGCAGAGCTTAGAGACTCTGAACGTCAACAAAGGCCTGCACTGAACTGTCAGTCTTGATATGCAGCAGACCTGTGCAGTGATGTCTAGGGCTTCAGCATGTCCTCTCAGCTTCACAGTTGTGAAGCACGGGGAGAGCTGAAATACTCAGAAATACCTAGTGAACCATCTCACTTTGAGCTGCTTGTGGCAGTTATTAGGTAGACAGGATCTCCTTACTCATCTGTGACTAACGTAACCTTCTCTAGACCCAGGCTATGACATGCTATTGGAGTTTCACATTAAAGTGTAGTGTTTAGGTATACATCCAGGATCTTAAAGCAGTCTTCTACCAGCCATTGATATTCCTAGGGGCAAACTGAGGGTGATTGGCAGTGAGTGACCTCTTGCCTGCTACTCCCCAACAGATGAGCACTGTGCCATCTATCAATGGGAGAAGAGATGTCTTGCACCTTTTCTTTCCCTGCAGTGTGTAACCTGTACTGTCAGAGTTTAGTTTTACTTAGGAAATAGCTCCTGTATTGCTGTGTGTGTATTTTTTGTTTGTTTGTTGTTTTTTTTTTTTGACTGGCAACAACCAAGAGTGAACTCTGCTTGGAGAAATGTTTGCGACAGAGGCTCAAGGCAGGAGAAAGGTCCATGTAATTGAGCAAAGGTTACCTTCAACCTGTTCTCATATTGCAAAGTGTTAGGATAGGCTAGTTCAAATTGAAACTGGGTGGGGGTTACCGGTAAGGAACTGGATGAAACTTTCTGTTTCTGCTGCACCTCTGCAGTTAGAATGATTTTGGAGCTATTCAAGTCTCACATTGCACGGGATCTCCTCGCTAAGGAGCGTTCCTCTATGTGGAGGATCCCTTTGTCCCAGTGCTGCTTGAGGCATGTGTGTGAGGCTCTGTACCCAGCGCCTTGCAACGTTCAACTTTGACTATAGAGTGGGCAGCTACAAACTAACCTGCTTAACAGATCCTGGTGGCTGAGGACCTTGCACTTGCAAAGGTCTCTTAGCTGTACAAGTAAAGCTGTGCTGGTAGACTCAATACCTCAGGGTGAGCTGTGCAGTGTTGTGTATCTGGGACCTGGTGTTGATTTGTGTTTATGCATGCAGGACTTCTGATTTGGTTATTTTAGCTCCTAATTGATTTTGTTACTTACAGGGGCATCACACTCTTTAAAACAAAATATATGGTGAAATATTACAGGGAAATTTTATTTCTCCTGACAAAAATGCTAATTATGTTAGGGAAAGCAGCCTTGCACTCTCATCTGTGTCTGAATCTTAAGCATTACAAGAGCTTGCTTCACTGAGCTGAAGAGAAATAAAACTTACATACATAAATTAATTTCCTTAAACTGTGCTTTGAATAATTTATTTGTTTTTCTCTAATTGAGAGGTAGAACAGATGGTGCAGGCTTAGTTTAAAGTGGTGTCCATTAGAGCAACTTAAGCTGATGAATGGTTGTTCACTATAAGCATACCTTTGTTCTCTATACCGTGTTTATTTTGGTTGGAATTCAGTGGAAGAAGTTCTGATTTAAGAGATAATTATCATGCATGGTTATGGGTTGCTATGACTATTTGGTAAGTGTGTTTCGAGTCTTTAGTGCACAAGAAAAAAGACTTATTTTGAGGAGGAGGCAGGTAAATCCTAAAGGGTTTCCAAACAGCTGCTATCATTAACTGGTGAGTTTTAGG